GTGACCACGCCCCCCTCCCGCCCTTAGCCACGCCCCCTCACCTCGCCCCGCCCCTAAGGCGGCCCTCAATCTCCTCCCGGCCACAAGGGGGCGCTCTCGCATCAAGGCGGCGCTCAAGGAATCCACCACCACCATCGAGTTGGGCCCGGCCCCATCGCAGCCCCCGCCCCAAAGCGCTGCCCGACCCCTACTGCCCCCCAACCACCCCCGGGGGTCGGAGCTGTCGTCATGGAAACGGAGCCTGGGGGGGGGGGAAAAGGGAGATTATGGCATGTGGGGCGGCTATGGGGTGGCTATGGGGTTATATGGCTTTATGGGGTGGTTATGGGGCAGCTATAGGGGAATATGGAAATATGGGGTGGCTATGGGGGAATACAAAGCTATGGGGTGGTTATGGGGCAGCTATGGGGCACACTCAGGGGTTTGGGAGTCAATGAGGTTCTATGGAGCAGATATGGGGTTATTTGGGGGGTTATGAGGTGGCTGTGGGTCACCCTATGGGGTGATCTATGGGGTGCTTTGGGGGATGTATGGGGTGCTCTATTAGGCACTCTATGGGGTTCTACGGGGCAATCTATGGGGATCTATGGGGCAATCTATGGGGATCTATGGGGCAATCTATGGAGCACTCTACGGGGCACTCACTGCTTCTTCACCTCCGGGCTCAGTCCAACCCCAAACTGCTCCTGGGACACCTCGAGGAGAACGACGTCGACCGGCTCAGCCCTATGGGGCAGAAATATGGGGCAACAACATGGGGCTGCCCCACAGCACCCCAGAGAGCCCCCATAGACCCCACAGCACCCCATAGAGCCCCACCTTTTCACAGCAGCAGTGACAAAAGCCCAGAGGAGGCTGCGGCCTTCACACGTGGCGGTGTCTGTGGGGCAGAGCGAGACCCACGGTGCCCTGCTGTGCCCCACATCCTGGCCCCATAGATCCCCACAAACCCCCTTGGAGCCCCCCACACTCAGCCCCATAGACCCACACAGATCCCAATGGAGCCCCATAGACACTCATGGAGCCCCACACCCAGCCCCATAGACCTCAATGGAGCTCCACAGCCCCACACTCAGCCCCACAGACCCCCATAGACCCCAATGGAGCCACATAGACCACAGTGGAGCCCCATGCGCA